GATGTATTATTTATTGGCCATGGCCATCATCATTGTAATTCAAGTGATTGAGTTTATTCAATTTATCAAATTCTCTCTATATTTTAGCATGGTATCAAGAGCAGGTTAAAATTTCTTGTTTTTTTTTTTCCAAACTCATAATATGGTCGGGGATGATGAAACATGTCCTATGTCACCCCCTCTCACACGTGTGGTTTCTGGAGTCCAGGGGGGGGGGGGAATATTCAGTCCATGGTGTTTCAAATGCAATTACGGGATTGCTTGGTAATGTTAATGTTCCCGATAATCGTTTGAATGGAAAATTTGATGCTACCTCTTGGATTATTGACACAGGGGCAACTCATCATGTAACCGGAGACAAATCTTGGTTGTTTGATATGCAGTGTCTAGAGTATCCTGTTGGTCTTCCCAATGGTGACACCGTATTGGCTTCTTTAATTGGTTATGTTCGTTTGTCGGACAAGTTTATTCTAACCGGGGTTCTTTATGTTCCTAATTTGAGTTGCAATTTGCTTTTTGTGTCACAAATTATCGCTGAGCTTAATTGTACTGTCCAATTTAACCCTTATATGTGTGTTGTAAAGGATCAAACGAAGGAGCTGATTGGAACGGAAGTTAGGAGAGACGGATTATTCTATTTTAGCAATTCAGATTCGGTGAATCACGTTGATGTGGGTGAAGCAAGGACGACCTTGGAGTTGTGGCATCGTCGAATGGGTCATCCCTCAGAAAAAGTGGTTAAGTTACTTCCTCATGTTAGTGGAAATAAACATAATCTTTCTAAATGGTGTGAGGTATGTATGCGTGCTAAACATCCTAGAGATAAATTCCCTTTGAGTGATAGTGGAGCTTCTAGGATTTTTGAGAAAATACATTGTGATTTGTGGGGTCCGTATCGACACGTTTCTTCGTGTGGAGCTCGTTATTTTTTAACTATTGTTGATTATTATTCCCGAGCTGTTTGGATTTACTTATTGGTTGATAAAACTGAGGTTTTTTGAATGTTTTTAGCATTTGTTGATATGGTTGATAGACAATTTTCTCAAACCATTAAGGTTGTGCAAAGTGACAATGGCACTGAATTTAATTGTTTGCATGATTATTTTAGTGCTACTGGAATTATTTTTCAAACCTCTTGTGTGGGGACTCCACAACAGAATAGGAGAGTTGAGAGAAAACACAAACACATTCTTGAAGTTGGGAGAGCTTTGAGGTTTCAAGCCAATTTGCCTATTTATTTTTGGGGGGAATGTGTTCTTGCCGGTGCTCACCTAATTAATCGTACACCCACTCCCTTGTTACAAAATAAAACTCCATTTGAAATTTTGTTCAATAAACCTCCCTTATTTGATGCCCTTCGTACTTTTCGATGTTTGTGCTTTGCTCATAATCAGAAAACAAATGGGGACAAATTTGCAAGTCGAAGTAGGAAATGTATTTTTGTGGGATATCCCTTTGGGAAGAAAGGATGGAGATTGTATGCCCTTGAGTCAAATTTTTTTTGTGTCACGTGATGTGAAATTTGTTGAGGAAGTGTTTCCTTTTTGTAGTCCGGAAGTTGTGAATATAGAGTCCACGAATTTTGATCAAAATAATGATGTTCATACGAATTTCATGGAGTATGAGGTGTTTGATGATAATGAGGTAGTTATGTGAGACGAGAGCATTTTACAGATCCATGAACAAGTTGCCACGAGTGTCGAAAATATTGTCCAACACACGCAGCAGCCTGAGACAGACCATGCCGCAGCCTACCCGCGGCAGCAAGGGCCATCCCGCAGGCAGGCCGCGGAGTCTGCTGCCCAGCAGCCTGTCTCCCCGCAGGAAGATGCCGCGGGCGCGGGCGGTGAAGCCGCGGGCGCGAGAGGTGAGGCCGCGGGCGCGGGGTCGGCTTCCCAGTAGTAGCCCGTTAGTTCTGCCTTCCCCGATGGATTTCCATCGGGCGATGGGTCGAGTGACCACCGATCGAGTGTAGAACCCTTAGATAGGGGGTTCCGTGAAAAAATTTCCAATGTCCGTTATCGTGACTATGTGACTCACTCAGTTTTTGCTAAAAATCCGTCTCTGTCCACTCCGTCTCCAATCCCTCCTTCAGGTACGCCTTACCCTCTAGCACACTATATAAATTGTGACATGTTTTCTGTGAATTATCGCAAATTTCTTGCAGCCGTTGTTTTGGGAAAGGATCCAAAATCCTTTAAAGAAGCAATGAAATCCGAAGGTTGGCGACGTTCTATGAAAGAAGAAATAAGGGCATTGGAAGATAATGGAACTTGGACATTGGAGCATCTTCCTCCCGGCAAGAAAGCACTAGGTTGTCAATGGGTGTATAAGACGAAATTTTTGTCTAATGGTGATATTGAACGTCTCAAGTCACGTTTGGTTGTTTTTGGTAATCATCAAAGAGAAGGTATTGATTATGGTGAGACCTTTGCTCCGGTTGTAAAAATGACTACTGTTCGCGCTTTTCTTGCTATAGCAGTTTCAAAAAACTGGGAGATTCAATAGATGGATGTTCATATTGCTTTCTTACATGGTGATCTTGAAGAAAAGGTGTACATGAAATTACCTCCAGGTTTTGAGAGCTCGGATTCGAGTTTGGTGTGTCATTTGAGAAAGTCTTTGTATGGGTTGAAACAAGCTCCGAGATGTTGGTTTGCAAAGCTCATTACAACTTTGAAAGGGTACGGTTTTATTCAATCTTACTCTGATTATTCTCTTTTCACATACACTAAAGACAATGTTCAGATTATTGTCTTAGTTTATGTTGATGATCTTATTATTTCTAGGAATGATTCTGCTGCATTAACTGTGTTCAAAGCTTATCTTGGTGACTGTTTCAAGATGAAGGATCTTGGTCCATTGGAATATTTTTTGGGCATTGAAGTTGCTCGTAGTAAATCAGGTTTGTTTTTGTGTCAACGAAAGTACACCTTGGATATTGTTTCTGAAGTAGGGCTATTGGGTGCGAAACCAAGTGGTTTTCCGATTGAGCAGAACCACAAGCTTAGTCTTGCTAGTGGTGAGTTACTTCAGGATCCTGAGTCTTATCGTAGACTAGTAGGGCGGTTGATTTATCTCTCGGTGACTAGACCAGATTTGGCATATTCGATTCATATTCTTTCTCAGTTTATGCACGAACCTCAGATTGAGCATTGGGAAGCAGCTCTCAGGGTGGTTCGTTATTTAAAGGGTACTCCAGGGTATTTTGTTAAGTGCAGATAGTGACCTGATTTTGCAGGGTTGGTGTGATTCAGATTGGGCGGCGTGTCCTCTTACCCGTCGTTCGTTGACTGGTTGGCTAGTTTTTCTTGGTAAAACTCCTATTTCGTGGAAAACCAAGAAGCAACCCACGGTATCTTTCTCTTCTTCTGAGGCTGAGTATCGGTGCATGGCTTCAACCACACATGAGTTGAAATGGTTGAAGGCATTGCTTTTGAGTTTGGGTGTCCAACACCCTAAGGCGATCAAGTTATTTTGTGATAATCAATTTGCTTTACATATAGCTTGAAATCCAGTTTTTCATGAACGTACAAAACACATTGAGATTGATTGTCACATTGTTCGTGATGCTATTACAGAGGGCTTAATTGCTCCTTCCTATGTCTCCACTAAGGAGCAACTTGCAGATATTTTCACTAAGGCGCTTGGGAAGTCTCAGTTTGATCACCTTCTTTCCAAGTTGGGCATTTACAATCTCCATGCTCCAACTTGAGGGGGGGTATTGGAGGATATATTTTGAAGGATATATTTTGGATATATTTTGGGAAATTATTAGGATATATTTAGTTTCCATATTTTATGCTTAGTATATATTTTATGCCTAGCATAATATATTTTTGATATCTTTGACTATTTCCTAATTCTATCGGGTTTGGGAACGATGTATTATTTATTGGCCATGGCCATCATGATTGTAATTCAAGTGATTGAGTTTATTCAATTTATCAAATTCTCTCTATATTTTAGCAAAACTACAAATACTGAATTTAAATTACTTGGGATTAAGAGTTGTCAAGTGAACTTGTGTTGCTGGATCAACTTTCGAACTGTGGGTGATTTTGGTGAAGATGGCTACCTGAGTTGAAATTGGCGATCAAAGACAAACACTTTTTTAAAAAATAAAAATAAAATAAAAGCATATTACTTAACCGTTAAATTTTCAGTTCGTTGACACCGTTACTTTAAAGTAACTAACGTCCATAATCCCACCGTTACTAAAATCCGTACATCACAATATAATAATGGTATAAAGGACAGTGTATGTCCCACAACAGCTACTGATTGACGAAGTTTTGTCAATCAGGCTGATCGCCTGAGTCTGCCACGTATTTAACTATGCGGTAAAGGTGGACTATTTTTTAATTTTTGAAATTTAATGAGAATTTTTTTCTTTCCAACTTTTATTTAGATGGATAAATCAAGGATTTAACTGAAATGAAAATTAAACATGATGTTGTTAGTTATAAGTAAAAAGGGATCTAACTTGATCCAATTGTGCTATGTCCACCAAGACCCAAAAGGCCAAAAGAAAGATATGGCTGAAACTTAAAAAAAAAAAAAAAAAAAAAAAAAAAAAAGTATATAGTATTACCAATGAAAATTAATACGGAGTACTCCGTACTAATAAAAAACTTAATTACATTGCATGCATTATATACGTACTCAAAGTCCAGTTGGTTTTCCATAAACCTCTTAAACTTCCGCTGCTAATGTAATTATTATAACCATTCACTTTCACTTTTACCTATAAAAAGTTATAGAATTATAAATCAAAGTTAATCACAAATTAATCTAAAGCATCTTCATCTACATTTTCAGTCTTTACCTAGCATGTAAGTTATTCACAAGTGCCTTTGCTTTTCTTCTTTAATGTCTAAAGCATAATCTTATTTTTTATGATAGATTTATATTTTTTAATCTGCTTTGTAGGAACATTATTTTGCTTATTGACTAAGAGTTTACTCCAAGTCAACGTCAACCTCGTACAGTCGTACCAACGTAACTTTTTCTTTAACACTTGTTGCAAATCATTCTTGTTTCAATTCTGAGGTTAGTTTCTATTTGTTTATAGTCATTGGAAATTTTGACACATTAATTTTCGTGGAAGCAGAATTTGGTCATCTACATGCATTTGGCAATGGAGAAGTCTAATAGCCAAAATAAATGTGAAGGGGCTAGCACAGGGTTACTAGATTTGGTGTTTTCTTGGTCTTTTCGAGACGTGCTTAACAAGGATTTGTACAAGGATAAGGTACCATTCTACATTTCTACTCCATCATATCCTCTAATTGACTAATTCAAAAAATCATTATACAAGTTATTGGTATACTCCGTGTGCACTTTTTATTATATAGGTCTAAATGTCTAATGACGGATCTAGGAAATTTAAAATACGGGTTTAAAAAATTCGTCCCTGATTACTATTTGTCTTGTACTCTTGCGTCAGTTGTGTGACATTTTGATTAATTCCAGTTTCTTTGACAGTGTTTATGTTCGATTATATATTAATTTGCAATCTATATGTTTTGGTTTAAGATTGATACTCAAGCATTTTGGAGGAATAAAACATATAACAATATCAACAATAGTATAATTAATGGCGACCATGAAGAGGCATATTGTGTTAAATGCAAACTTGTTCGTTTGGCATCATTATAGTTTTCAGTTTTTTGATTTTTTTTTTTCTATTTCAAAATCATATGTTATAATATGTCATATAATGAATAAAAAAGTTAGTCAAATTTATTTTACTCATGATAATTTTGAAAATTGACAACACAAAAAGTGAAAACACTTTGTTCTTATTTCATATTTTTGATTTTTTTGTTTTCTGAAAAAGTGAAAACTGAAAACAAAAAATAATGCCAAATAAGCCGTTAATAATATGTTTTGAGTTGGAGATCATGTAGTAGTAGTCTCAATTTTGCTTTTTTAATTGCAATACGGCAATACCTAGTGAAAAACAAATACTTTTTTATGTGCATATTAACAGATCATTTGAAAAATTATGATCATGAACAGGTGAAACGTATTCCAAAGGTGTTTTCATCAACTACTCAGTATACAAATGCGTTCAAAACCCCACTTGTGGAGGAAACTCGAGCGAGTTTATGCTCAGGAATGGAATCTGTTGGCAATGCCCCTGCTTGTGAGATATCAAGTATCGAGTTATCTAAAGATTATAAGCCTCCTAAGGAGTTTTATTACAACATTTTGACTAAAAAGTTTACTGATTTCAAGAACAATGGAGGACATTATGAGCCAGAGCCAGGGGACATCATTGTTCTTTCGAATATTAAGCCAAGAAGGATTGAAGATTTGAATAGGCCTGGACATACCTCTGTTGTTGCCATGGTTGCGACGATGGAGGATGGTTCTGACATGACTCGAATTCTCTCATCAAAGGAACTTGGTGGTTCGGAATTGTTACCTAAGCGTCATATGGGTGTAAGAGTTTTCGCGACTTACTTGATCAACTTGATAACAAATACGAGGATTTGGAAAGCACTTCATCCTGATCCTATTGGTGTGAGCATGAACCTACTTCTTAAAGTTCTTCAACCTAACTCTCATGTAAGGAACAATATTTCTCTATCTGTTATGAATAAGTTGCAATATTTCGTTACTTTAAGAGTTAATTGTGGATGTGATATCACAAATTTCATTTAGATTTAGTACATGGTATCTGAAAAGAAGAAAAAACTTGCTCTCAGGGCAATTTTTGTTAATCATGATAATGATTTTCGACATTATCATTAACTCGAAAATTTTCAAGTCATCTGTAATTATGAATATTGGCCTAATGGCCTGCACTCAAAAGTTAAAATGGCATTTGTTACATTAGTACTGATAGTGATTGAATTTCTTTTTCTACGGTCTTGTCTGTGGTTACAGGCAGGTGAGGATTGCACTATATGCGTGTCTGGTGGTAACTTTAGCAGTGTGAATCCAAGTATACGGGAGGCAATCGATTCTTTCAAGTTAGACGAGTCACAGAAAACTGCTGTTTTTAGCAGTATTCTGATGAGAAAATGCTCACACAAGAAAGACAATGTGAAGCTCATATGGGGTCCTCCAGGGACAGGGAAAACAAAAACAGTTGCTTCGCTTTTATTTTTACTTTTCAGGTTGAAATGCAGGACATTAGCCTGTGCTCCGACCAACATTGCAGTTCTGCAAGTCGCGAAAAGGCTGATGGACATACTCTCACAGTCTCTGAAGTATGATACTTATGGCTTGGGTGATGTTGTTCTTTTTGGTAATAGTGAGCGAATGAAGGTAGATGAACATGATGAGCTGTTAAATGTGTTTTTAGATTATCGAGCAGAAGTTCTGTCTAAATGCCTTTCTCCTATAAATGGTTGGAAGCATACTTTAGATTCAATGATATCTTTACTTGAAGAGCCTGAAGAGCAATACCAAAAATACTTGCGGGACAGAACTGTTCTCGATGATGATGAGGAGGAGGATGAGAGCGACGATGACAGTGATGATAGCAGCGAAAGAGATAGTGCAAAATGTAAGGGGTTGAAGAGGGATGACAGAAGAAAGCACTGGTCAGAAGTAATTGATCAATCAATGAAACGAAGCAACAAGAACTCCAAGGATCAGAAGTATAGATCTTATGACAATCTGTTGTCGTATGAAGAGTTTGTGAAGCAGAGGTTCTTTTATGTAGGAGAACGTTTAGCGTTCTTAATGAAGAATCTTTACACCCATCTACCAACATCGTTTATTTCATTGGATGCAGTAAAGAGCATGATTAGCCTGATTGAACTTTTTAATATTCTTCGAGATGCAAGAGAAAAAATTGGTCATAACCATAAGTTGACGATGAAGAGGAACGAGTTTGTTCAAATTCTCAAGTCCCTTCCTGAGTATTTCTCTGTTCCAATATTAGCTTATTCTGACATACAAACAATCAAGGATTTTTGTTTAAAAAACGCTCATTTAATCTTCTGTACTGCCTCGAGTTCTGCTAAAATGCAAACTGAAGGCATGGAACCAGTGGAATTGTTAGTCATTGATGAAGCCGCGCAGATTAAAGAATGTGAATCCTTGATTCCCTTACAGATTCCCGGTCTCAAGAACGCCATTTTGATAGGCGATGATAAACAGCTTCCAGCAATGGTTCAAAGCAAGGTCTGAAATTAGTCTTGTATAGTATTACTGATTATTATTATTTCTTGGTTAACTTATTCTTTAAATCTTTTTTAAGGTTGCTGAAAATGCTGATTTTGGACGGAGCTTGTTCAAAAGATTAGCAACTTTAGGGAAAAAGAAGCATCTTCTTAAGATTCAATACCGGATGCATCCGTCCATAAGTTTGTTTCCGAATGAAGAGTTCTATGGAAATCAGATTACAGATGGTCCAAATGTGAAAGAAATAAGTTACTGTAAAAACTTTCTTCAAGAAAAAATTTATGGAACTTATTCTTTCATCAATGTATCTAGAGGAAACGAAAATTTCGACAAAGGCCATAGCCCCAGAAATCTAGTAGAGGCAGCAGTTGTGTGTCAGATTGTTGTAAAGCTCTTCAAGGGTGAGCCTACTAAGTACTAACTATTTAGTATTTAAATATGACTTCAATAACATAAACAAAAATTTGGATTTTCACAATGTGTTATTGTGAAGAGTATTGTAACACAGGGAAAAAAGTAAGTGTGGGAGTAATTTCACCTTACAAGGGTCAAGTTGGTCTGATTCAAGAAAAAATAGGAATGCGGTATGACAGTTACAAGGACAGCGGTTTCTTAGTGAGTGTTCGTTCAGTTGATGGATTTCAAGGCGGAGAGGAGGACGTAATTATAATCTCAAGTGTTCGAAGCAATGGGAAAGGATCGGTTGGCTTCTTGTCGAATCATCAAAGGACAAATGTAGCTCTAACGAGAGCAAGGTAGTTGTTAAGCAGGCTAGAGTTATTATGTTTTACTTTGAAAATTTCTGTTTTGAGTGTTTTGTTGATGGTTTTTGATATTGTAGGTACTGTCTATGGGTAGTAGGGAATGGAGCTACCTTAACTAAAAGTGGATGTGTGTGGAAGCAGCTTGTGATTAATGCCAAAATGCGAGGATGTTATTACAATGCTGACGAGGATAAAGATCTTGATAGAGCAATGACAGCAGCAGTACTCGAGACTGAAATCGATCCTGCAGAATCTTTGTCAAGCAGGTTAGCTGGAATTCAGATAAGAAACGGCAGTCAGGGAGAATCGAGTTCCTTATCTAGGTTAGTATCATAACTACAACACTTTGTTCTATGTTAGATGAAACACAATTCAAAGTGCTTGCTATATTACTTTTTATGTGTTGTTTTAATTTTCAACAGAAACAATTTCGAGTCGAAAAGGGAGAAAGGAAGTTCCATAATTGGATACAGAAGATGGTGAATGAATTGAACAAGATTGGAAGGAAACAGAACTTGCTGGCTTCTAGTCGACTTTCCATTCTCCTCATTTTACTCTAAAGTATCTATTACATGCTACTGGCTAGTGTTTTCATGTTATATTACTTCCGGATATGGTGTTGAATACGTGACAATACATCTTGACACACTAAAAAATCATGTCCTAATTTTTTACTTTTTAGACATTTGGACTCAAATCGTGTCTTAATATAATACGGTTTGTTTTGTTTTCGCTTGGTATTTATATTTTCCTTTATATCTTGTATTTCCTCACCTTTTCCATCTCTTCCTTTCCATTGAAATAATAATAAATTTCGATATTATTTGTCTAATAAAAAACATCCTTTTAATTCTCATTTAAGGCTTTGTATTTGTCGTAGAATACACATTATTACAAATCAAACAAGACTCACTTAATAATTATTTTTATATATAGATTGTCATGCACATAAAGTCAAAGTTTAGTCAAATCTAACAATCAAATCAGGTCAAATCAAATTAGAATAGATCGGATCAAATAAGAAAAATATAGGGTGAATTAAACAAGCCCTTAATCTTATTTCAGAAAACCATAATGCTCCGTAAGTTCTTATAAAAAAGATTATTTAAGAAAGGTAAGATATATATACTAGCCGATAGATGTTAAAAACCAACAAAAATTATCAAAACTGCCAACATTTCAAGCGAAATGTCTTTATTGCCCTTACTAAAATACTAAACCCAAACCCACCTTTCTCCTCTTTCTTTTTTTTCTCACATCAATTACCCCCCAAGATCCCCAAATACAACCACCGCCACCACCACAACAGAGACAACCAGCGTACTAGTCGGCGGCGTTCAAGAGGAGGCAACGCGAACAAACATCGGTGTCGGGTGGTTGACGGTGACGGCATGGCTGGAAATAGGGTTGTTCATCGATCCAAGACCAGACCGGACCGATCCGGATTGGACCGAAGACCGAAAATTAGAATTTTAAGAACCGAAAACGAACCGATTAAGAAGGGTCCGAACCCGGATTGGACTAAAAGAATCTGTCCAAAACCTGGACCAGACCGCTTTAAGAAGTTTTTTTTAAAATAATACTAAATTTTTAATAAAGTTATGGAAAACACGAAAAATAGTAAAGGAAAAACTATATTTTTACGTCTATTTTTAAGTCTACTTTTGTATGTTAAGTACAAAAAAAACTTATAAGGTTAAAGTTTTCTAAGATTATTGAGGATAATTTAAACCATTACTTAAGGTTTCACGCATTTTTTTAATAAAAAAAATAGTCCGGTCCAAAACCGGTTTTTATAGGATTTTAATTGGACCAGACCGGACCGAAGATCAGAAAAATGAATTTCAAGGCCCGAAGATCGGATCGATTAATTCGGTTGGTCCGGGGTGGTCCGGTCCATTTTTTCGGTCCGAACCGATTTATGAACACCCCTAGCTGGAAATCCGGGGAAGGAGGTAAGTTTACCGATTAGATTTTTGTTTTGAATTTAAGTTTTTTTTTTTTTTTAAATAATTCTGATAGCTGATAACCAGTGGTCAAACCGGTTGACCGCCACCGGTAACCGACGGTCAAAACCGATTGACCGCACTTGTCAATCGATTTTGACCGTCGGTTACCGGTGGCGGCCAACCAGTTCTGAGCGTTGTTTAACAGCCAATAACTTTTTTTTACTACCTCCGTTAACAGTTATTTGCAACAAAAGGGGTCTGCGCGGACTCCTAGGGAAAACTTATAAACATGATTATTAAAAGTTATGGACATGTAATTAATTAATAACCAAATTTATTAAAAAAAATTGCAATTAAACCAGAACCATCTAAACCACCACGACATGCCACCCAGAACCACCTCCCATGCCACCCAAAACCCATGAACCACCACCCACAAATCGCCGAAACCACCCAGAAACCACTAAAATTCACCTGAGAACCACGAAAACCACCCAAAAACCACCAAATTTGAAACCCAAAAACCAAACCCCCCCACAAAATAGCCACCTGCGAACCACCAAAACCCATGAAACAACCACCTGCGAACCACCTAATCCCACGAAACAGCAAGCCACAAACCACCCACAAAAGCCACCTAACACCCAGGAGCCACCAACAACACCCACACACGACCTATTAATACCCACCTACGAACCACCAACACCCACGAATCACCAGCACCCACGAAATAACCACCTACCAGATCTAACGAAACCCACACACAAACTAGATCTACTGAAACCACCCACAAAATAAGTAGAAATAAGGGATGAGAAATGAAGAAGAAAATGAGAAATGAAGAAGGAAGAAGATGGAGGAGAGAGACGGTGGGTAGATGAAATTAGGGATGAATCAAATTTTTTTTGGGATAATAGTTTAGATAATTGAGTTAGATTAGAGTTATAATAATTTGTAATTATGTGTACTATTATGTGTTAATAATTTTTAAATGAGGGTATTTTGGTCATTTTATCATAAAAAAGTTACTATATTAAGAAAAAAATAGTTTTGTTGCAAATAATAGTTGGCACCTGTTTTTGGTAAATGTTGCAAATAACTGTTAATGCAGGTAGTATTTAACTTATTCTAATTAATTGTTATTATTATTACAAAATAATTATAATTAATTTTATTGTTATTTCTGTAGATAATTTTAATGATTAATTGTTATTATTATTATTAGTCTGGTGTAGATAGTTGTAATTGACGTGGTGGTTGTGGGTTGTAGTGGTCGACATGGTGGTGTGGGTGGTACCAGTGGTGTTATTGGTGGTGGTTGATGTGGTTGTTTTAAAAGCGGTGGATGGAAATTTTGAATAAAATTAGAAAAAGAATATGAGGAAGATTTTAGTAAGAGAAATGTTGTCCCTTTACTTGAAAGGTTGGTGGTATAATAAATTTTGTTGGTTGTATTTAGCAATCCACTAAAAAATCATACATCTGAAATTTGAATTTAATTTAGTTGAAAATTCATACATTTTCCAAATCCCCTCATATTCTTACACTTTTAGTACTCGAATCACCATTGCAAAACCACGGAAAAAATGGCCGAAAACCAGCAAAAAATACTCTGTAGGACCTTAACCAATGACGGAGAAGACCATTTGAGTTTACTTCCCGACGCAATCCTAACCGAAATTCTTTGATTCCTCTCAACCAATACCGCCGCTTCCACCTCCGTTTTATCGCACCGTTGGCACCACCTTTGGACCGGCGTCAATCACCTTGATTTCGGGTTCTTTGAATTTGTTAAGATATATATGTAAATATATTCTATTATTGTATTTTAGCTAAGCGTATATTTAGATTGATATGATTGTAATTAGTTTCCTAGATATGTGCCTTGTATTATGGCTAGCACGATGCGCCTAACTTGTATATAATGGGAAGGCAGTAAATGAAATCCCTCGAGGAAAACATTCCATAAACTCTTTCATGGTATCAGTTTCCTAGGGCACGATTTTCTTCATCTCTTCCGCTGTTTTCCGGCTAATTACCTTGCTCACGTTTTGTTCTTTATCTTCTTCTTCTCATCTCTTCTCTGTTCTTCACCATGGGTGATTCTAAGTCTCCCCTTCATCCGGCTCCTCTCGTCCCTAACATTAAGAGCACCATTCCCATTACCCTAGAAATGGAGAATGTGCAATACTCAACGTGGGCGGAGTTGCTCAAACTCCACGCAAAATCTCATCGGGTCCTTCACCATATCATTCCCCCTGCCAAAGGCAAGGAGAAAATTCCATCTACTGAGGAGGAACAGGAACTATGGTGGACCCTTGATTTTGCGGTTTTATCGTGGCTCTATGGTACTATCTCGACTGACCTCATCAACACTGTCATCGAACCTGATGCAACAGCAATGGACATATGGAATCGGTTACGTGACCTATTTTAAGACAATCAACATTCTAGGGCTGTTGCTCTTGAGCAGGAGTTTTTAACCACAACTTTAGAGGACTTTCCAAATTTCTCGGCCTATTTCCAGCGTTTAAAGTCTCTTGCGGATTAACTCAAGAATGTAGGTGCAGTGGTGTCTGACAGTCGAATGGTTATTCAGTTAGTTGGGGGCCTTACGAAAGCGTACAGTTGTGTGGGTGCGCTTATTAGGCAGAGCAATCCCTTACCCGCGTTTTATCAAGCGCGATCCATACTCACTTTAGAGGAGGCCGGCATGGCCAAGAACGCTTCAACAGGGTCGGACTCGGCTATGGTTGCTGCATCATCTGATAATTCTCAGTTTGATTTCGCTTCTCATGGCCAATCGAAAGGGAAAAATCAGAAAAAGGAAGAGAATTCCGGCAACTGCAAAAATTCTGGAGGTGGTTCCGGACGCGACTCCGATGGTGGCAAGAGCGGTCAGGGTTCCGGTGGTGGTTCCAGTGGTGTGCCTCGAGGTTCAGGTGGACAGCAGCCTTCGTCCTAGTTCTGGCAGCAACTGTATCCCCCATGGGGTGGATGCCTCAAGGGTGCGCCGTACCACCATGTCCTTACCTCACTCAGCATTGGGCTAGGCCCAGCTTTTCACCAAGGCAACAGCCTGGTATCTTGGGCCCACGCCCACAACAAATTCAGCAGGCCTATGCCGCTTCAACTCAGGGGCAGCCCGGTTCCTATGGTTCTTCATATGCTCCAACTGACATCGAGTCCGCCATGCACACTATGACTCTTTCTCAACCTGATCCGGCGTGGTACATGGACACTGGAGATACCTCTCATATGACCTCCTCTCTCAGTAATTTCTCGTCTTATTTTAATTTGATCACTCATCCTAATAATGGCATTGTTGTTGTTAATGGTCATACTATTCCTATACTTGGTTATGGTCACACTAAATTGTCTTCCCCTACTACTCCCTTTACTTTAAAGAATGTTCTATATGCTCCTAAACTCATCAAAAATCTAATTTATGTTTGAAAATTCAACACTGTTAATTCAGTGAAAGTTGAGTTTGATCCTGTTAGGTTTTCTGTGAAGGATTTTCGGACGGGGAAGCCAATCATGAGATGTGATAGCCATGGGGACCTTTATCCTTTTACCACAAATAAAGCTTCTCATTCTACTTTTGCCGCTTTGTCATGATCAATTGGGACATCCGGGTGCTCCTATCTTAGATGTTCTTACGCATAATAAAAGAATTGATTGAAATAAACATTCTAGTTCTAGAATTTGTGATTCTTGTGTTTATGGAAAACATGTTAAATTGCCTTTTTCTCCATCTACTTCTACTACTCTTGTTCCATTTGATATTATTCATAGTTACTTGTGGACATCTCCTATTTTAATTTCTATTGGCCATCGTTACTACATTGTGTTATTGGATGATTTTTCGAATTATTTATGGACTTTTCCTATAGCCAAGAAATCAGATGTTTATGACACTTTTCTAGCTTTTAAAGCCCATATCCACACCCAATTTGAACGAAATGTCAAAAATATTCAATGTGATAATGGGAGGGAGTTTGATAATGGTCCTTTTTGGGAATTTTGCAAACGCAATGGCCTATCTTTTCGTCTCTCTTGCCCCCATACTACTTCTCAAAATGGGAAAGCCGAATGAAAAATTAGAACTATTAACAATGTCACTAGAACTCTTCTTGCTCATGCATCCCTACCGCCATCTTTTTGGCATCATGCTTTGCAAATGGCTACATACCTCCTTAATATTCTTACAAGTAAGTTGTTGGGTAATAAGTCACCTTTAGAGATCCTTTATCAACAGGTTCCTTCTTACTCACACTTACGGGTTTTTGGGTGTTTATGCTAACCTCTTATTCCTTCTACCACTATCAATAAATTACAACCAAGGTCTACTCCTTGTGTATTTTTGGGTTTTCCTTCTAATCATCGTGGCTACAAGTGTTTTGATTTATCATCTAATAAAATCATTATTTGCCGTCATGTATTGTTTGATGAGAATGTGTACCCCTTTTCTAAACTTCATACTCAAACTTCTGCCTCGTATTTTTTTTAGGGGATGGATTGCATCCTTTGGTTATTCACCAATTAACCCAAACTAGTGAGTAGACACCTCCGGCCCAACCTTATTCTCCTCCACCCTCACCTACGGCCCAACACAATTCCCCCTAACTCTCACCTGCGGCCCAGCTCCAATCACCCACTCCCTCCCCTTTCGTTTCTACCATGGGTTCCCATGAGGCGCATGGGCCTCCCTCACCTACCAGCCCACATACTGCCTCACCTCTTCTCTATCCCTCGACCCAGATACAACACGGCCCTACTTCACCTACTCCTTCCCATATTCTAGTCCAAAAGCCAACCATAGTAACTCGAAGTCAAAATGGCATTGTTAAGCCTAATAAAAAGTATTTTTCCAATGTTGTTGTCACGAGGTCTCCTTTACCTCGTAATCCGGTCACGACTTTACGTGATCCTAATTGGAAAATGGCCACGGATGATGAATATAGTGCTCTTATTAAAAATAAGATGTGGGAGTTGGTGCCCCGTCCACCTAATGTGAATGTTATTCGTTCTATGTGGATTTTTACTCATAAAGTCAAGTCTAACGGTGATTTTGAGAGGCATAAATCCCGTTTTGTAGGTGATGGTAAAACTCCGAGTTCGGCTGTTGCTGCTCGCTGCTAGCATGCCGCGCATTCCGAGTGCGGGCTATTGCAGCTTGTGCCCTTATATGCCGAGGCTGGTCCTTGGCTGCTAGCAATGGTGCGCTAGCACGCACCAGCCAACCAAGGCTAGGCTTGGTGCGCATGATAGCCACCATGCTATGCATTATGCCCCTAGCACTCGGATTACTCATGGCACTCTGATGCTAGGGGTATTTTGGGAATTATGTTGATTGATTACTATTTGCACGTCTCGTCTACAATTATTTTCGACTCGACTTCCGACGCTCGATTTCGACGCTCTAAGCTCGAAATTCCGACACCTAAATAAATATTACTCGGTTGACTCATTAATTGCTTCCGAATTAATTCGTCGCTTTGGCTCATTGATTGCTTGGGTGTAACCCGAAGGGTTCAGTCAAGATTAAGCTGTTATATTAATTATGCATTAATATTACTGATCGAAAGCGGCCTCTACTTAGGCATTCCGATCACTTGACCTTACTGAATATAGTAGCTTTCTAATAATTCTGAACCCACTATCAGAATAATACACTTGTTCAAAGGACACTATTCCTTTCAATCTCCCACTTGTCCTTCCGGACAAGTTTGCTTTTAGTGTATAGCCCTTTTCCTATGTCGCTTAATGCCTCTTCATGAACTATAAGGTAAGATTATTTTGTCACCCTTATTACGTCCAAAAGTGTTTCTCGATTCTGAGTCCGACTGTCAATAAACAGATGATTTCTAAAATCCATCCAAGCACGACCATGCATTTTTACAGTCTCACTCTACGAGAGGCCTTGTAAACAACAAAGACATCTTCCCTATTTTAGTAGGGGGACATTTCCAGTCTTGTAATGTAGCTTCTCTTACTAAGAGAACCTAGTTGCCCGAGTGATGCCGTTATAATCTCCTATTACGGTAGACGTTTGACAATCATCAAAGCGGACTAGTACTCAAACAAGAAAGCTCACAATACTCATGGTCAAGGAAAAAGGTTTTGATAGCAATAATGAGAAGTATACTTATAACGATTTTTAATCTCTTAAAGTATTCTCATAGGTCGATCCAATATGGTTCTAAACCAATACATGTGCAAATGATTCATGACAATCATGTACATGTAGCACATGAAACGGTGCTACAAATATAACTGCACACTAATCTCAACTGGTCATTAATCGTCCATCGTTTAAATGTCCTCGATTAGGGATAATTTTCGATTATAATATTCAACGTTCACTTAATAGGTGTTTCCTTACAAGACTGGTTTTGATACCCTATGTTGAATATTCCAAAAATCGAATGGACTCGTTAATTAATTCTAAACCACAATTATATTGTCAACGGAGTGATTTAAATTGCGTGAAAAATTTAATTACTCCAAGAACTGAATGGTTCATCTTAGTGCTTTACATTGAAATTGTCCAAAATTAATTAAAACACTAAAATAAGGAAATCAAAGCCAATGTCCAATGTTCCTGATTCGCATTGCCTCAACGTGCTTGTTGTGCTTCACTTGAGGCAAAGGTTTAGTTAGTGGATCAGCTACATTGTCATCTGTTCCAACTTTAAAAATTCTGATTTCACCTTCTGATTTCCATTCTCGAATCATGTGAAACTGCCGCTTGACATGTTTGACCTTATGATGTTCTCTCGGCTCTCTAGCTTGAGCAATAGCTCCATTTTTATCACAATAGAAATCTATTGGTCCCTCGATGGAGGGTACAACACCAAGTTCACCAGTGAACTTGCGAATCCAAACTGCCTCCTTAGCTGCCTCAGATGCTGCAAGTATTCAGCTTCATTTGTAGAACATGCAGTTGTGCTTTGCTTAGCACTCTTCCAACTAAACGCTCGTATATTGAGACAGAATATGTACCTAGACTGTGACTTGAAGTTGTCTCTATCTGTCTGGAATCTTGCATCGGTATAACCCTCAACGACTAATTCATCTCTGACACCATAGACCAGGAATTTATCCTTGTTCCTTTTCAGGTACTTTAGGATATTTTTGGCCGCAGTCCAATGCGCCGCTCTTGGATCTGATTGGTATCGGCTCGTAATGCTCAAGGGATACGACACATCTGGCCTATTATATATCATGGCATACATGATCGATCCAATAAGCGAAGCATATATATGGAATCTGATTCATCCTTTCTCGCCCATCAAGTGTCTTTGGACACTGCTTCTTGCTTAGGGTTATGCCATGCGACATGGGTAGGTGGCCTCTCTTGGATCCTTCCATGCAAAATCGAGTTAGTACCTTATCAATATAAGTACTTTGACTCAATCCTATCATCCTTTTTAATCTATCCCTATATATCTTGATGCCTAGTATGTACTGAGCCTCTCCCAAGTCTTTCATTGAAAAACATTTTCCAAGCCAAGCCTTTATAGACTCTAACAATGGAATGCTGTTTCCAATGAGAAAAATGTCATCGACATATAAGATTAGGAAGGCGATGTCACTCCCACTGACCTTCTTGTAAACACAAGACTCATCTGGATTCTTGATGAAACTAAACTCACTAATGGCTTCATACAATCGCAGATTCCAACTTCTACTTGCTTGCTTTAATCTATAAATGGATTTCTTAAGCTTGCATACCTTTCCAGCGTTGTTTTGGTCGACAAAACCTTCATCCTATTTAATATACACAGTTTCTTCCAAAATACCATTTAGGAAGGCGGTTTTAACGTCCATCTGCCATATTTCATAATTGTAATATGCAACAATCGCTAGGAGGATCCGAACGGATTTAAGCATTGCGACTGGAGAAAAGGTTTCATCGTAATAAATACCATGAACTTGTTTATAACCTTTTGCTACCAA